AGAAGGTTTTCATGTTTGTTGTGTTTCTCCCTCTGTGGTTCAGTTCTACCAGTTCACCATCGGCACTCAGAAGGAGGGGCGCCTGCTCTGTAACGGCCACTACCCAGAGATCCTGGTGGTGGACGCCACCAGCCTGGAGGTGCTGTACTCCCTGGTGTCAAAGATCTCCCCCGACTGGATCAGCTCCATGATCAGCATCCGATCCCATCGGACACAAGGTGGGATTTTAGCAGCCTGAACTCCTCAGCATCCAGCTTTCACTGCTTCGCTCTGATCCTGACTCCTTTCCAGGAACCAACCAGCTTCACCAACATCACTTCTAAAGAAAACAATCAAACCACTGAAATGATTCCAACTTTTAACATAAAACAATTGATCGGTATGTTAATGTGGAAATATTTTCCTTCCTTGATCCCAGCATTTTTGGGCTCTTTTTTTCAGAATAATGCACAGAAAGATAATCTCTAACTCCACCGTCCATGAAGGCCAGATCAAACCGGCTGAATCCGACTCTTTAATCTGCAATCCGTTTAGTTTCCATGAGGCTCCGATGAGGCAGGGTGGGCAGATTGTCTCTGTGCAACACGCATTACAACAATTTAGATTTGGACAGATTATGAAAAGTTATTTAAAAAGTTATTAAAAATAATAAGTTCCACTAAGTCTGTTTAGCTGTGATGGAGCAGTAGGACCAGGCTAGAGATTCTACATAAAAAAAAATACTAAAATAACGACCCCTAGATACTTGAAACCCCCCTTTGAGACGAGGAGGTGGAAGAGGGGAGTCCACCTTTTCATGGTCTGGGATTAGGAGGTGCTGATCCTCATATCGGCCGCCCTCGGTGCACGCTAACGGTCCCGGTTTGATGAGGACAACATCATCTGCAAACAGCAGAGACGATATCCTGAGGTTCCCAAACCAGACGTCCTCCAGTCCCTCGCTGCACCTAGAAATTCTGTCCATAGATGTGATGAACAGATCCAGTGACAAACGGCAGCCATGGCTGAGACCACCATGCACTGGGAACAGGTCTGACTTACTGCTGGTGATGCGAACCAAGCTCCTGCTGCGGCCCTACAGAGAGCGGACGGCCCTTAACGGAGGACTCTGGACCCCATACCCCCAGAGCGCCCTCCAGAGGACGCCATGAGGCACACCGTAGAATCATTGCTCCTTTATGTCGAAAGGAGCCAGCTGAGGAGGCTCAGGCATCTGTTCCTCCTGGTCGCCTCCTTCAGGAGGTGTTCCAGGCATGTCCCATTGGGAGGAGGACTGGTGGACAACCTGGAGGGACGATGTCTCTGAGCTGGCCTGGTGACGCCTCGGGGGGGTGGGGGGTGGCAGATGGAGGAGGTGGGTGTGGATCAGGAAGTCTGAGCATCTCTGCCTAGACTGCTGCCTCTGCGACCCGACCCGAGATAAAGAGGAAGAAAATGGATGAATGGATATTAGAAAAAAGTGTTAACATTAGGCTGTTTACATCAGAGGAAAGCCCCGCCCTCTGAGGGGAAGAGGATGTGAAAAAATTACAGCTAAATAAAATCATTAAAAAACAAAGAGTTTCTTCTCCGGCGTTTTTCAAAGTTTCATTCATGAAGATTTTTCTTCAATTTCAACAATAATTAGACAAAATAGCCTCCGTACAAAGTAAGAAAATATGTTTTATTTTTAGGGTCCAATAACTGGACCATAGATTAGGAAAATGGAGCCGCTTTACGCAGAAAGACCTCCAGCATCCAGCCGGGTCCTAACGATGGCCGCCTGGAGCGATCAGTGGAGCTAATGACACCTGCTGCCAACCAGCTTCTAGAAAGTTCTCTCGTTTTACAGAGAAACATGTTTTTCCTTTTTATTTTATGCTTTATTTTTGTAATTTTAGTAATTTAGTTAGACTGCACCACCCATCAAACAACAGAGCAACTAGTTCAACAGGAGCAGTTGAATAAAATCAACAAACAAAGAAAGTAATCCCATTAATTGTACAGTTGGTGAATGTTCCATTTCTTCCAGTATTTATTGTATCTGAGGTCTTAAAGGAAAAGTCCGGCTCTCCATCGCGTGATTTTCTTCCATTATTCCAAACATGGTGGTTCCACATCTAGAATCAGGTTTTTAAAGCTCTTTGTGGGGGAAGTTGTGTTCCCGTCACCAAGAGCTGAAGGTCAGTCGCCTGCGTCCTGTGGGATGGAAGGTGACGCTAACAGGCGGCCATGTTTGCTGCTGAAGTCAGACGGTTGGTTTTCCTGTGTCTCCTCAGAGGACACGGTGGTGGCGGTATCAGTGACGGGGATCCTGAAGGTGTGGATGATAACCGCAGAGGTCAGCAAGATGCAGGTTTGTGGCGTTTATCTTCTCCACGCTGAATGACCCCCCCCCCCTTCCACTTCCTGTCTGACCTTTGAACTCTGCTGCGTTCAGGATCTGGATCCCGTCTTTGAAGAAGAGTCCAAACCCATCTACTGCCAGGGCTGCCAGAGCATCTCCTTCTGCAGTTTCACCCAGAGCAGCCTGCTGGTGGTCTGCTCCAAGTACTGGAGGGTAGGATCCTGCAGTCTGCCCCCCCCCCCCCCGCCCGTCGGCCGTGTGCCGGCTTCCTTTCTCCTTTCTCTGTGGTAGGTGTTCGACGCCGGAGACTACTCCCTGCTCTGCTCCGTGCCCAGTGACAGCGACCAGTCGTGGAGCGGAGGAGAGTTCATCGCGGCCGATAAAGTCATCGTGTGGACCGAAGACGGCCGCAGCTACGTCTACAAGCTGCCCGCCAGGTAAGCGCGTCCGCAGCGTCTCAGAGACGAGCTCGGTTCTAGCGGCGCTGCGAATAACGCTCAGTCTCACCCTCAGCTGTCAGTCTGCCAGCGAACATTTCCGCAGCGACATCGGGAAAACCAAAGAAGGCTCCGTCCCGCCGCTGATCTACAGCGTCGCCGAGTGCTCCGACAAACAGGTCAGTGTGGTTTCCAACTGGGAACGGAGCCGCCAAACTGGTTCCTGCATCCAGACTGGATGTGGACAGAAAGTCTGAACTTTGATCAGGGTGAAAAACACCAACGCTACCAGCTGGGAAAACGCCAGCTTTAGGTACAGGGAGAATCATACGCATCATCTCATCCACTGGTTCCCAAAGGGGGGGCGTGGTCCCATTTGGGGTCGTGGAACAGCAGCTCTTTGGATCCTATATAGAAATTAAACTCATAACTCTGAAGCATATTTATGTGTTTAAAGGTATAAAAACATCACAAACTAAATAGGTTGTAGCCATTTATGCTAAGTTTAGTTTTCGTCTTTAGTTATGCAAAATATATTTAAGGTAATTTAGAACCAAAATTAGTAATAAAAAAAAAAATATTTGTATTTGTTTAGATAATGTTATTAATTGTTAGACCCTCCCATTAATTGGAGTAATTAAGAACACGGCGGGTGCTGCTGGGCGGTTTGCTAAATGTCTGATGTGGACGGGAGGTTTGTAAAATTATTTTTTTTACCACTTTTTTTAGAGCTTCAAACATTAAATTAACAGTTATTTCTGGATTTTACTAAGTTGCCAGACATTTTTAGTAATTATGTCTTCTTTGCTTTTAATATAAATAAGCCCAGTTTAGAGTGCGTACAAAGCCAAAAACCAGCTGGTACCAACCGAGGACTTTGTCGGACATGTTGGTATTTTTTTGGAGCAGAAGGCGACAGAATAGGTTGGATGTTGATGTGCTTCTTAATCGATTTAACAGATTTTTTTTTAGAAATATTTGTATTTCCAGGATTTCCACGGGTTATTAAAAATCATAAAATTTTGATTTTTTTTAATTAAATTTCATTATGCGATTATTCTGGAATTTAAAATGCTTTATTTAAAAAAAACAAAAGACAACAATTTCCTCAGATATTTTAAATCAGATATAAATGCTTCCGGTTTACCTTAAAGCAATATGATCAGAAAAGAAGCTCGAGGCGGAGAAAAAGCTACACAGGTGGAAAACGAGGAATTCAGGACATGGCTGCCGTCTGTCAACTTTGCTTCATCTGGAAAAATGTTTTATATCTGTTTGGGGTAAGCAACAAGTTGGGGCAGC